TTCCCCACCTTGGAACATGACGCCAACTCCCATGCAGGAACCAACTTGTATGATCCTTACAGTCGATTGGTTTAGCACCTCATCAGGCTTTATTAGCATCACTGCAGGTCCCAGGAGGCCCGGAGGGCTGCTTGAGTGGAGCCTACCACGTCCCACATCCCACCCTGCGGGCTCCGCTCCAAGGATCACTCAACTCCGGAAGGTCCCATTGGCTGCGGAGGCTCTCATGAGCATGTGACGTCAGGAACACGGGCCAAATTCCAGTATCAGCCCTTCTGTCGCAAACCACCAGAGGGCAACTGGAAACGCACCACAGGCACACAAGGTGAAATGTTCCACTGCTGAGCGCTCCCCTCACCCAGCTACTGCACCACAGGAACTGAAAAGAGCCCAGCACACACACTGCCCTCCAGGGGCCAGGAGCTGCCCCTCCACCCATGCCTCAGGGAAGCCCTCTGCCAAGTGCCAGGCACCTGACAGAACACAAGGCCTGTGTCTAGCTTGGGTCCATGTTCAGCTGGTCCTTAACTCATATGGCTCACCCTGACAATTCAAGCCAAAACCTCCATGGCATAAGTTAGTAAATTTACTAACTTCCAGGGACTACTGCATTAGGGGGTGATCAAATAAATATACCCCCTTGCTTACTCTGACCCTCTTCCAAAGCTGAGCAGTAGGCAGAGGGTAGCAGCATCAGGATGGGTCTAACAAAATAGAGACAGAAATCTAGATGCAGATCAGGATTTCCCCTGTCCCTCATCCAAGTTCCTCCACCTCTTCTACAGTCAATTTATTTTGCATTCAGGCTTTTTTCCTAAGCCCATGATAAACTGTAATTTCATCTCACCTCACTGTAGTGAGGAATTGGTCAATCAGCATCAGCTTCCAGAGGAACAAGAGGGAGGAGCCCTGGACTTGCCAGTGTATTTGTGGCAGAACAGCAGGATCTCTAGCTATGATAACCTTGTTGTTGAGCTCCAGCCTGCACCAATGCTGCCAGGTTCTTGTGCAATCCTGGACAAGTCATTTAGGGCAGAAGTTCACAGAGAGCTCCAGCCAATTCCCAGATCATAGTTGCTTTTTTCCCAGGCTCGATTTCAGGAATTGATTCAGCCCATGAAAGGGACAGATCACCAATGGGACCAAGGTAACAAAACTAGTAGAAATCCATGAGTGCATTTCAGTAGCTAGAACTTGTTTATTTATAGTTTAATCAGTTCAGGATTATTCTTTGCAATTTTTGAAGCAGTAATTTCCTCTGTCATGCTCAATCTTTTTAAAGAGCAACAAAACTGATGAATGTTGTTCAGAGGATGCAGAGTGTGGGCAGCCAGGGGAAGCAAAGTAAGACACCTTCCAAGCACAGCACCCCAGAACTACCCCATGGAAAAGAGTTGGACAGGGAGAGAGAGAAGAGGCTGGTTAACACAAGATAAGGCAGCAGGAAGGCTAGGTCAGGTCAGTGCTGACAATGCTCTTGCAAGTACCACACAGAGTCTGGTTTTAAAAAGAGGCAGTTTCTGCCATCTACAAATCAAGACCTAGATGGTGGCCAAGTACCAGAGGACACTGCTATCTCTTGGGAACATGACAAAATCATTGGTCTGTTTTTAGCTGTGTGCAGCAGCAAGCAGCAGAGGCAGCAGGAGCAGATCCACCAAGCAAAACCAACCCAACAGCAACACAAAGAATTTGGGAGCCATTCAAACTCCCTCCCTGATGACCCAAATTCCATTCTCTACTAAAGGGAAATATCCACTTACATTTCACCTAGTGCCAATCTCACTAGAACACTCCAAACACACTCTAGGATATGAAATGGAGCACATAAAGGACAGAAAATTCAGGAGATTTGTATATCAATCCAATGTAACACTAAAGCAGCTCCATAGCTGCATTCTGTCAAATCTCCTTTTTGAGAACCTCTTGGGACAGGAAGGGCAGACACACATAATCAAGGCAGTGACAGTGAAACACAACAGGAACCATCTTAGGTCAGAGGAAGTAACACAATCCTCAGAAAGCCCTTCAAGGCCACAGTCAACAGCTAACTGGGGGTGTATGACAGGTTTGTGTAATGCCATGAAACCAATTGCTCAGAAGCCTGGGTGACTCAGTTGTGTTAAGGAAGATGTCATTGCTCCTGAAAGTTCTTCTCTCAGAGGTCCTATCAAATGTGCCCATCTCTCCTTACTTGATACTTTCCCCATACTTAATCCCCACACTGTGTATAATGCCCAGCAGATTACTGGGAAGGAGAGAGAGGAGATGAGTGAAGAACACAGCTGACCAAAGAAGCTGCCTTCTGGGAAAGTTGCAGAGCTCAGCCTGCCTCACTGATCTCCCAAACACTTCAGTAAAGATGACCCTCACTGCATCTGATGTTCAACACTGCCATTTATTCCATGGCGTAACAGTTTCCCATTGTCCCACAGGGAAACAAGCAAGAGAGAGCAAGAATCCAACATGACAGTAGAGCACAGGAAAGCTTGGAGAGAAAAAACAGCCACCAGTTTAATACAAACTTAGCACCAGTCAGCATTATAGCAGCCATGCAGAGCCTATGTCTGCACCAGGAGGCACAGAAACAGCAGGATTAGCTGAATCATCTTATGTACAGTGGAAAATTTCCACATACCATCTAAATCTGCAAGGGAGGGACTAAGCTTAGGGTATACTTAAAATTATCTTCTGCTCAGGAAAGCAAATGCTGCCCTGGAGCACTCTTCCCACCAGTAATCAACCTTGGAGTCCAGTGTCTTGGTTTGGATTTCAGGTACAAGTATGTCCCCTACAAGAGGCAAGGTTTTTCTCCGCATTAACTACTTCTGTATTTAGTGCTCGATTTCCTTATGTAAATTCCATTGACAACAGCACAGTGGGAAAACAAACTGATTCATGCTGTTTGTCACCACAGCACACAGGAGTTTACCTGATATAGCTGTAGTGGTCACACTGCGGGCATGCTCCCACCTACTCCCTAAACCTCTACAGCAGATGTGCTCTCCTACCTCCTACCTTGCACTCTTTTTGGTATCAACTTGACCCTGAAAAACAGGTTCCACTAGTTCATCAGGAAAATATTGTGTAAGATGTCACATTGCCATGCAGTCAATGTAACTGTCTCCCTGTACAGGAGCTGATGGAACTGATGTGAAGGATGTGTGAGAACATAGAGCCCAGACAGGGAAAAGAGATGATTCCTGCTTGAGAGACAACAACCAGCTAATCAAGTACCACTTGCTTTGAGTGGATAACAGAAGGAAGAAGCTGATTAATATTAGGAACTAGTGGTTCACAATAAGAGCCAACCAAAACCCTCAAATCACAAATTTAATCCTTGTGCAGGAAGAAGTGGCTGTTTAGTAAAAGACTTGCATGAATAACTCAAAAAATTTAATAAGAAATTGCAGTGTCCCAGCTAATAAAACACAAAGCTGCTCTTCAGCCTCCATGCAGCCCTCAGCCCAAGCTTAATAAAATTCTCAGGCATCTTCCCTCCAGAGATGTTTGGCCCTTTACACAGGACTGCATTAGCACATGTAAGGCCAAGCTGTACAGGGCTTGGAGCTACCAAGTCAAGTGGAAAGTGTACCTGCCCACGGCAGAGGTGGAATGAGATGGGCTTTCAGGTCCCTTCCAACCCAAATCAGTCTGGGATTCTGGGATTTTATGTAGCAGCTGGTTAAGCAGCCAGTCGAAACCTCATGTCCTATTTGTATGCATGAGCTGCTGCAGGTACCTCAGTAGCCCTCACAGGTGAGAGCACAACAGCCATTAGCCACAAGTACATCTGCAGTAGTAAATCCTCTGTCAGTAACATGAGGAAATCCCAGCTCACACTACAGACTGGTTTGCCATACTAGGATGAAAAAAGTGCCACATATTCCTACCTGCCTCCAAGCCCTGTGCTCTCAAACCCACTAGCTGAAAGTGGCAGTTACAGAAGGGGAAGCAAGTGGTGGATTTGCCTGCTTTTGACAGTTTTTCATGCTTTCATACAGGTAGGCAGTCACCACAGAGCTCATTTGAGAACCTGGCAAGAGAGAGCACATCCCACACACCTAGCCTCAGATAAACCTCTCCACCACACTCCAGAAAAAAACAGACATAGTGTGAAACAGCATGAGAGCTGTTTGAGCTTGTCTAACCAGTCACAAGCCTGGGACAACTATATCCTAGCAGATGCAGGGAGCTATCAGAATTCTGCAAAGCTAGTGCAATACTAGGAAGAAGGAAACAGCACCACTCCTTGAAAAGTATGATTTCCATCATCTAGCATCTCCTGGATTCCCTCCAGAGCCAAGTTTAACCTTGTGGCCTTGATTCGACAGAACAGACTTTATTGCTTGGCCAAAAGGACTGGCATAGATCATTGCCATGAAGACATATGCAGAGGGACTACTTAAGGACATATCCAAGACAGAAAAGGCTAGACAGGGTAACCCAGAAGAAGTCATAGGGCTTCTCCCTCCACTCCAAAGGCAGTTTCCTGCAGGCAATCCCTTGGTCTTGCTGGCTTTAGACATAGGAATTAGGATTAGCTGTAACAAGGTGAAGAAGCTGTAAGAACAGCCACCAATACATACCAGCATAACCTTCTCCAAGAAGCCCAGGGTTCCAGCCAAACCTCCCCATAGAAGGCAGCAATTAAAACTGAATTGCAAAGTTGAACAGCACCACTAATCACTATGAAAAGTGAAAAAAACACACATTTTACATAAGATTTGGGATTAAAATCAGCTTCTTAAAAGAAAAGTGAGGTTCTTTCTAATGTGTTTTAATAATAAATACAAGTTATTATCAACAGTGTAAGACTTCACTATTCTTCTCGAGCATGAACAAAAAGGTGCGATGAAGTGTGTGCAGTTTTGGGATAGGTATGACATTGTTTGTCCCTTTAGGCTTTCTGCCATCTGCCCATGAGCACGGAACAACAGGAAATTTCTTGACAGAAGAGGTTCAGGAACCCAATAAGCCCCAAAAGCCAGCTTTTACTATTTGGGAGTACACTGAATATTTATTTGTTTAAGAACTACCAAACCCTCTTCTTCATATGGGTCTGACAGCAAAGATGCTGCATCAAAGACTAGAGCGATTTCGACAGGACTGAGGCCAGAAGCCAACTGACAAGGATTAAACATTAAGGAAAGATTTGAGTTAGCTCACAAGGAAGAGAAGGGTCTCACAAGGGATAAAAGCCATATTTACAAGTCCTTCACACTCAGGAGAAAAGCAAAGAAAATAACTACCCTCAGGCAGGCTTGTGAAGATACTTTTAATACATCTGAAAAGAATGCATATACAAAGAACTTAGACATGAAAAAGCATTGGTTCAACACTAATGAGTCTACAAGAAATTGAAATTGTGGAAGATGGAGAAGATTCCCTAAATCTTAAATTTTTTTGAATTTGCAAACCAAAATACATTTTTTGTAAAATCCTTATGATACTGCAGATGGTCTGTGTAGAGACACTGCACATGATCCTCAGGGGTGGAGCCACTCTTACTGGTTCAAGGTTACTCATAAGCATAATGCACAAAAAGGGGTTCCCTCAACTGGTCCCCATATGGTGTCACACCAAACACCAGAAGCCCCTCCCTAAACTTCTTTTCAACTGACACGGGTCTATCTTTCCACCTCTCCCCAAAGGATGCCAAGCCATTCAGCAAGAGATGCACCATCAGAGCCAGCTCCCAAACCCATTGTAGCATATCCCAGGTCCCTTCAGGGTGTCCAAGCAGCAGTGTATGTGCTGGTCATTGTGAGCATTTCTCTAATAATTAAGGATTGGCAGAAGATAGATTCATTAAAAGCCAACTGACCCAGCTAGGCGTGTTTCCAAAGGCGTGGTTATTTCTTCAACACGAGCCAAAGGATTATGATGGCAAAGATTAAGGAAGAGACCGGCAAGTTAGTCTCAAGTCTGATGGTGCATCCAGAGAAATCATCCTTCTGTTCCTAAGGCTTTGTGACTTAGAGGATGGGGTATAAATTTATTACCTGCACAGTTAAAAAGCCAGGGGAAAAAGATACAAGGCAACTTCAGAGAAGGTGTATTTTCTACAATCCTTCTTAGAGGAGCACTAGGTTGGGACATTTTGCTTTCCCGACTAAAGTCTGCTCATACCCAGACTGCTGGCTGGCTGCAGAACAACCCTACAAGGTCTAAAAACGAGAACCAAGTCTTACCACACCAGCGTAAGGGGCAAGACTTCAGTTAAACAGCCTAAAATTAGTCTGTTACAGAAAAAGTCATTGAGCATGCCTTGATGTTAAACAAAAAAAAATTAGGAACAAAAAAAAAAAAAATTAAAAAAAAACTAGTAATGATCAATGTCTCCTGATAATACATAATTACTCAAAATGAACTAGTTTAAGTGAATTGAGGGGACACTGGGGAATAAACACTAACATTCTCATCTCACACAGGGATCATGTGGGGGAGATGGGAGTGCAGGGCATTCGTCATTATTGCAAAAACAAATTTTAAAAATTTCTATCTTTAGTTTGATTTTAACATTGCTTTTAGTATGACATCAAACACCAGCTTTGCAGAAGGGGCTGTGGAGGGACGTTCATAGCAGCACACACCTGCGAGTCTTCTTCGGCTCCGGGGGCTCCAGGGCAGCCAATATCGCTTCGTCAAATACATTCTTTAGGCCTTTCTGAAAAGGGGCAAAGAGAGAAAGGGGCAGTCTCATTTTTGAGTTTTCACACAAACAAAACCCCAGAAAACCAAGTGGTAGCCACATCCCTCTAAGAACACATGGAGATTTGCCATCCCCAAAGCCTGCCTGCCTGCCCAGTGAGGCTCTGTACCACTGCTCTCAGCAGCTTCTGAGCAGAGCATCTCATTTTCAGAACAAGAAGCCTAATCCTCAGAGAGCAGACCAGTGTGCTTCACGAGTAGAAAAATGTCCATCAAAATAATTTCCTTAAGGCAACTTTTATGAGTAACCAGCTACTCATACTTCACATGCTAATGACAAAGTAGAAGGTGCTGCATTCAGATGAAAGAATACAACCTGGACCATGCCTGCGACAACACACACCACTGTGTCAGTGGAGGAGAGACAAGGTAACTATGCAATTATAATCTTGCCCAGTACATGCTCTGGCTGGGCATCCAGCCCTAAACACCCCAGTGTTAGAAGCAGCCAGGCAGAGCCCAGAATCTACCATAGTAGCAGAGAAGTCAAGCTGGGAGTACAGAGGGGTACCATACACTCTGTTAAGGATTAAACTGGAGCCAGGAAATGCAACTTGAATAAAGTTTCATCAGTCATTTATACAAACAACTGCAATTTTTAATTTCAAAATTTAAAGACAAGCTACAATTGATGTTTTTTTCCTTAAAACAATTAAAATCAGAAGCATGAAAGTAAGCAGCAGCTTTACATCTTACAGTAACAGGCTTTAAGGATCTATTATTGAAATGAAGAGCTCTATCATGTTAGTGAAAGCAAAAATTTTAACAGTTCATAAAGCAGTAGCAAGTACATCAATATTTCCTTCCCCCCAGGGACTGACAGATACTCCACTATAGCACAGACAGTCAAAGCAACAGCAAATATCTCACTGCACACAGGAGAACCAGAAAACCCTTCACTTTACAGCATAATTTCCAGATCACCAGTTCAGGTACTTTTGTCATGCAAATACAGTTAAGAGTCACAAGTAGAAATGGAAAACACATGTATTGTTTCTTCCAGTTGGATTCAGGAAGATCAAACATCATCTCTTATTTTTGGTCGTTCTTTAAATAACAATGTAACCAGATCTTTTCCCCAACAGCCTGAATTATAAAGCTAGCCACACCTGGCAACCCAAGCAGCAGGGAGTTAAGCGAGTCCAGTTCATGTTCCACAGTCACAAAGTTTTACTAAAGATCTCAAGTACTGTTTTCAGTCCAAGATCTAATACAGAGGTTGCTCTAAGATGGTAAGCAGGCACCACAGCTTTCAATCAAGGTGATTTGATTCATTTTTAACCGGGTTTCTACAGTAGTGGGACAGAGGAAGCAGCAGCAATAGGGGAAGAAGAAAGTTTAGAATATACAGCACTTCCTTTTGGGCTGAGTTTCCGGAGGCTCGAGGGCAGCTAGGATAGCCTCATCAAACACATTCTTCAGACCTCTCTACAAGACAGAGGGGAGGAGAAAAAACAGCAGCCAGGTTAGAGGATTAGAGAAAAACAAGCAGATACAAAGAGCATTCAGGAGCAGGCTGAATTCACAGAGGCAGTAAACAGATTTACTTTGCAAAAAAACAAAGTAGATCCCAGGAGAAAATCTCATTAAATAACCCAAAAGTCAGTGACAGAGACAGACAGAACATGTGACAGGCCAAGTTAGACAAAATTAACATTCAGAAGGGCAGAAGCACAAACACGGCAAGAATATAGGGGAGGGGGCCACACAAATGGTGATGGTTTTCACTCCACTGCTGCACTACACTGAGGGAGTTTACAGGGGAACAAATCAAGCACACAACAGCTTGTCCCAGCAGGGGGACCTAAAAGGTCAGTTAAACCTTTTGTCATCACCTACTGTAGATAAGGGAACACCTCAGCTGCATAGACAATTGCTCCCAACTCCCCAGATCAAAGGGCTCCAAACAACTCCTCTGCTTTGTGAATTCAGCCCCTGAATAACTGAAGGTCTCCAAATGGCTGGGACATACATTCTGGGATGGAATCAGGACCACTCTGGTAAGCCATCATCACTGGCAGTCATTCTCAGTCTTTAGAAGTGATGCAATACCTCACCAGCGCTACTCTGACACTGGGAGCCAGCATGGAAATGGTGCATTTCAGTTATTCAGTTTAGTTGCCAAAGCAAGTGTAACCACAGAAAGACAGGAACAGCGTTATGAATGCAACAACTGGGATCCATCACCAGAAAAGCAGTCACAGAGCTGCAGGACCCTGCAGGGGTTACATCAAAGCATGGAGTATGCACTGTATTTACTGTAAGCATAACAGGAATAGTGCAGGGCGTTACCACTCCCACCCAACTCTGCTAAGTTACACACCACATCAGAAGTGAAACCTGGCTCAGTTTAGGCTAACTGGACTCGCCTAAATCTACTGTCATGAGTGCACCTTTCAAAAATTCAAGAGAACTGCTATATGACAGCTGAAGGCAACCAGAAAAGCTTCAATTACATCCTGTAAACTGCAATCTGTGCAAAACTTAAGACTTCTTTTAAGATCACTCAAATGCAACTGGTTTCTCCCTTACAGGTTATACTGGTATATCCCTTTTACAAGAACTTTAATTTTGTTTTACAGAAGCACATACATGGGAGACCTCTAAGGCAGTGCCATCTGGAAGCATTTAAGACCATCACATAGCATGCAATATTATACTTGAAAGAATAATCATGTAAGGAAACTACCATGTACATTCTGTACATCCTCCCCAGCAATTTTTCTTTAAGTAAGTTGCAACTCAGGCTCACAAAAGAGCTAAAGAATTCAGACAAATAACGCCTCTGAAGTCTAAATAGTAATTAGATTTAATTTCTCTGTGAGAATAAAGCTGTAGCATAAAATCAATTATGTACTGTTAGACAGATGAAGAACACAGGCAGGGCAAGAGTTAATAAAACAATTTTACTTAAATTCTCCTATTCAGGGACTACTCTTATTTTTGTATTGCCTGCAACAAATTTGTTCAGCAGTGCAGAATTTGGAATTTTTTTTGAAGGACCTAGCAAAAAAGGGAAAAGGATTTAAAAAAAGGACTGGGACAAAACTGTTGTGAAAATGGACCGGGGTTAAAAACCTGAATGACCAAGAGTAACAACATGAAGGGAAGAAACTGTGTTCAATACCACAGGCACACAGGCCTGTTAAAATCATGACTTTTGTGTTACACTAGAAACAGGCTGAGATTGGGTTTCCTCTGTTTATGGACAGCTTAAGGCACTTTATATATCTGTGCCAAAACTGGTTAACCCACCACCAGGAGGAAAAAGAATTCAAATTCAGCATTCTCTCTGGTGTTAAGTACTAGGATTGGGCTTCAGAAAGTCCAGACACATGTACCCAAGAGTAACAGAACTAACAATCGCTGTTGTTGCAATCTGTCAGTCACCCTCTCCTAAACAGCCTTACCTACTTGTCACTGTGACACTGGGCCATTTTGTAAAGAAAAACTGGAGACAGACACTGAAAATGCCTTCATCACAAAAAGGGATTCCACAATCTGAGGAAAGGGGGATAGAACTTGCTCTCCAATGGAGCAGTTATCCAAACTTGGGGAGAAGATTATCTTTACAGAAGAAACTCAAAAACTCAGCCTCTCATGACTCATACAGTACAAAAACAAATAATGCCAGCTCCATGAGTCTATGAGTATTTTCTATAGTGGTGTCAAACTAATTTATAGATTAGTTGGGAAGAAAAAAAAAACACCCTGGACTGCTGACGTGAACTGCACAGACAGCACCCAAGGCAAAGAGAGACTAAATACCTAATTGAGTCTCACTTCAGCTGAAATCAGCTACTATAGCATTGCCTTGCAGGTAGGAAAATAACCCTCCAGGCCAGTGAAGCAGCTGCCTTCTGTGTTCAGCAAGCCGCCAGTGAGATCACTGCAGGAGCTCCACACAGCCCTCTGCAGATCAGTTACACTGCTGTTCACCAGCTACTGATGACAGACCCAGGAAAAAAGTGTTTTGTGAGTCAACAACAAATGAAGGGAGAAGAATGGAGCAGATGCAAACCGACTAGTTGTCCACGTGAGAAGGCTTCTGAATCCCAGGTCACTCCTGACTCCTAAAACCATCACTTGGTACACAAGCACTAACGCTCTGCAAGAAAACTCAGGCTGAGCTTCCAAGTGCACAAAGTTGTTCACTACAACAGAATATAGCTTAGTCTCTCTGGAAATAGAAAGACTGGATAAACACTGACATTTTTTGTCATATCAACTCTTGCTCTGGTAATTCCAAGTGATTCCATGCAATTTGAGCAGACACAAGCTCAAGTCCAAAGCTACAGAGGAAAGGGTCTCAGAAGGCAATACAGGACAAAGGCCCTGGCAGGTATTTACCAACTAGCAGGCTCTACAAACTAGCTAGCGGCAGCATTCAGGCTGTGACAGACACTATCTAAAACAGTACTCTGGTGTTGAACAGATCCAAGAAAAACTACAGCTCAAGCATAAACAGCTCTCAGCTTGCCTGTGGGCAGTTAGGAAGCATGGCCAAGACCACCTTTTGATCAGGGATTCCCAGAATGAACAGCAGCATGCCTCACCACACCACCTCCAGTGCCAGTGTCCTAAACAACTCCAGCAAAGCCACTTCCTTCAGAGACACCCAGGCAAATCTTTGTTACAAAAAAGCCTGAGGATTTTAAATGGAAGAGTAAACATGCAATCTGGAAAAAAGGGGCAAGATAAGTAGAACTTCAGGATTTGTGCAGTTTGGTAATCGTTTTATGCTCAAGGAGATGAATGCACAACCTAACTGGAAAGAGTGAGGGGCTTGATACTGTGCACCCCTGGTTCCATGCACATCACAGAAGAACAAATTCTTTACAGACCAGTATTAAGGAAGTTGTTCAAAGTGTTATAGTCAATTCTGCAAGAGTAAGAACCTAGGATTAAGCTCCCAGAACATCCAAGGTCAAGGCAATAGGTCAGCTAGCCAGAAAATGGCTCCCACTCTAGTGTTCCTAACTGAAAAGGAAAAAACAGTTGAGTTTCTTGCTCTTAAATCAGCTACTTTAGTTGGCTTTCGACTCACATTCATAAGTTATAAACATCATGTAAGAACTATTTGACTGTTACTTTCTGTTTTAATAGAACTTCTATCTGAAGCAAGGACACAGGAAACAGCTCACCACCAGCTGCACAAGAAGAGAAGGCAGCTCTCAACTATGAAGGTTTCCAGTCTTCAAAGTACCAGCATTAACTTTAATGAGAGGCATTTTTTTTCCTTTGCCTGCTTGTTTCAGCAGTGAGGTGCACTCTGTGTCCCAACCCAATTAATGTCCATAATGTACCTTCTAAGTTTTCAACAGTTATTTTTCTCCAGCACAGAAGCAAACACACTAAAGCACATCCTCCTCCATCACCCACATTAGGCCTAAACCACACAGGCTGATTTTCCTTGTACCACTGCCAACTCTCTGTGCCTTAGAACAGCATGACAAAGAGAAAGCTACACTGTAAATAGCAGAAACAGATCTTACACCCCTTCACATCCACACTGAGTTGTTTCTCCCGGAACTGAAAAAAAAGTATGGAATAAAAGCAAGCAAAAATGGTCAAAGACCAACCCTTACCTGCGTAAGTGCAGAGCATTCCACGTATTTTACAGCCTTCAGGTCCCGGGCCAGCTTTTCAGCAGTCTCTGGAGTTATGGGCTTCTGCTTGTTCTTGGCAAGTTTCTCAATTGTTGAAGGATCATCTCTTAAATCAATCTGGGTCCCAACAAGCAGAAAAGGAGTCTTTGGACAGTGGTGAGTAATTTCAGGTACCCACTAAAGACAGAAGAGACACAGCATTTGTTACTTAACCACCTAAGATAACTCCTGACATACTTCAGCAGCTCTGTTTTCATGCAGAGTTCAACCAACCTTTTCTTTCACATTTTCAAATGAAGAAGGAGAGACCACTGAAAAACAGACCAGAAATACATCTGTCTGTGGATAGCTGAGGGGCCGTAATCTATCATAGTCTTCCTGACCTAGAGAGGAGGAAATTAACACTGTATTAGACCCAGACAACAAAATCCTGCCCTTTACAGGAAGTCAGAATGCACATTTCATCACAATAACATGGCTGTGATCAATCCTAACTCTTAAGCAAAGAGCCAAGCATACCGTGAACTCAAACATTTGTAAAAATCTACGTTTCAAATCCAGAATTCATTCAGTTGCTACGTAACAGTGAGCTGCTCAAAGTTACAGGAAAGCTGCGAAGCCTCCAATACATTTTGAAATAAAACACCCTTGGACTGCATAACCTTCTGTTCAGTTATAAAGGAAAGTTGTACAACGTCGATCCTGTTATAGATTAGGTCCTCTAGTCCATCCATTGTAACTATTATGCCATCAAATTTCATTACCCTACAAAAAAACCCCACCTCTTTGGAGGGGAGAAAAAAAATAGTTTTGATCATAAGAATGTTCTGACTTATGCTGGCAGCACTCAGTGAAGTGTCTCCAGGCATAAGGAGGAGAATGTTGTTGGTACGCGTGACTGTGACCAGGCCACCCAGCAGTATTACCCTAAAACCTCACCAAAGTCCCAGCATGGGCTGTGCTTTGGAAGAAGCCAACCTCCTCCTTTTGAGTCCCTTTGGGCACACAGTCCCCACAAGGCACCATTAGCACTGATCCATCAGCCTGACTGTCCAATTTCATTCTTAAACTTCCTCCTGCCCGATTCAGCAGCACTGCTTTTAGAAACTCTATTTGGCACTGAAGCTGCTGCACTTACCAGCAATGAAATTTGAAACTCTTATTTAAAATGTCTCAGATTCCAACTAATGCTGTCTCACTCATCATACAGGACAAAGACCTACAAGATCTTGAAGGAACTGACACAAAAGCTGGGACACCTCAATGGAGAAGACCTACAGTTTGAAGATGGAAATCTAGACAGCCCATCCTGTCTACTGTGCTTGGCTGGACACAGAAGAGTGAGCACTGACCAGAATCATAGTCTCAGAATAGTGTAGGGTTGAAAGAACCTTGAAGATCACCTCATTCCAACCCCCTGCTATGGGCAGGGACACGTTCCACTAGATCAGGTTTCTCCAAGCCCCAGCCAACATGACCTTGGACACTTCTAGGGATGCAAGGACAGCCACAGCTACTCTGGGCAACCTGTGCCATGGCCTGCCCATCCTCACAGGAAAGAATTTCTTCCTAGCATCTAATCTGAATCTAAAATATCTTGTTGCAATTAACAGACTACTCCAAAAGTCTGTCTTTCAAGAACACGCTTAAAACAAAGACTTGGGTTTTAATCTGAGAACTAGCAATAGGGGTTTCATACATCGCTAAATTTTTTCACTTGTGCTGGCTGCTATTTAGAAAAAGCATGCAATCATTAAGAACTAATACTTTCCCCTCAGCAGTCCAGCTCTGGAAAGAAAGCCTTTACATTTACAAGTGCACAGCATCACCCATATGCATTAAAGTAATTTGGTAACGTCTCAAAATTACTAGCTGGATCACTGCTCATGTTGATAACAGAAAATGTGCGTAACTACACACACAACACTTCTCAGAAGTCTGAACCCTCAGCTGGAAAACAGGCAGAGAAAGACCCAACACATCCCACACAGGGACGTTGCAAATGCTACAACTGCCACAGGACCACCAAGATCCCTACAGCACACCACACAATGTGTGGTCAGGAAGGAGTCTCTCTTTTCCACCTAACTCTTCATCCATGAACTAGGGAGCTTACAATAACAGGAACACAAATCACACTTGGGAGGAGAACATGGAGAGCTAAGCAAAGCCATTCTGAAGAATACATTCAGTACAGACAGCTCAAGGTACAGATGCAGTGCCAGCTGCAGGCTGAGCTCTGGGTGTCTGGGAGCCCCAGAAGAGCTGGCACTGACCCTCTGCTCAACGAAGGGCCCAGGGACCCATGGCACAGAAATACAATAGGAGCCAAGGACTCAGCTGTATGGATATGACAGCCTGGTTAGAGAGCGAAAAAACTAGGTAAGTTCTCCCAGAATCAGCTTGTGAGACTTTATAGAGTTAAACAATGATAGCTTATTATTATAAACCACCTGCAGGTGTTTTCCTACTCTCCGTTTTCCTCAAAGATTGTTTATAAGAAAGGCATTTTGTTAATTAGCCAATCATGTGAAAGCAATCTATCTAGACTGATCTGGTCGGTCTGTATTGGAACAATGAATAAGAAGAGAAAATTCGAAGTAAAGCAGCTATGCTGTGCAAACCAGCCTTCTGGTGAGTCTGTGTCATTTCTTACTCAACAGCATCACAGCTGGAAGCCCCCAGACTTTCAAACACATGCTGTGAGGGATATAAAAACCCACAATTTGCTTTGTTCAGGATCTCTTCCCAGAGGCACTAGCTCAGGCTGTTATTTTGGTTTTTCGCCACAAATAAATTTTAAGGCTCTGGATGCCTGAGACATCTATGGGAAACCTGGGGCCAAGGCAGTAAGGAGACCTTATCTGACTGTGAAGTGTGGTGCATATTGAGAATCAAGCGAGGCACCACCACTACTGGGTCACTGAAGTTGCCACTATGAACAGGCTTCAGTCCCAGCTCAAGTGGTGAAGTGTGACCAGATGGCTAAAAAGGAAAGTTTCTTTAACAGCTATAGGGTTTAACTGGGAACCTAAGATTGTTTCATTGATCAAATTAGATCCTAATTATGCATGTAAGAATATGCTAGAAACAGATGAAATTATATCAAGACAATTTTAGATGAAAGCTTATGAACTAAGCTCTTTAGAAGAGCTCTTTTGAAGAAGAGTTGCTGCCACACCACTTCAGTATTATTAGGCAGTAGGAACCGAGTATCCAGCAGCTGAACCAGTTTCTACCATTTCTTGGTAACTTTTCACACATGAAAAGCAATGTTTAACTGTTTCATCACCACACATTTCTCCACCCTAAAACTGAGATGCAGCTTAAACAAGAGGCCAGCAGATTTTTTAATTTTTAAAAGCAAGCAGTGAGAGGGCTTATCAAATCCACTCCATTACTTCATCCACATTAAGGATGCAGAGACTTACACACATTTAAAAGGTTCTAATATTAGTCATTCTGTCTTGACAGAATCAAGAGAGATTTTCCTTTTCTATTAAAAAAAAAATCTCAACAAAAAAACCCCAACTGTATGTCTTCATGTTCAACATCACCTCAGGTAAGTCTTGGTCAAATACAAATGACACAAACACTTGGTTTCTCACCTGCAGTATCAAAGAGGCCAAGGGTGTAAGGCTCTCCTCCAATCATCACTGTTACAGCATAGTTATCAAAAACCTGGCAAGAAAAGAAACACATGTTTAAAGGAGACATGACTAAGCCATATCTCAAATCATCATCCTACCCACCTTGCCAGAGTACCTCTGATTTGAACAAGAGACACCTCTACAGGAAAACAAAACCATCAGGCTTACAGTGCTATTAGCACTAATACCATTAACATATGGAATAGGGATACTCCAGCTGTTTCCATGACATACTCAAGCAGAGGCATATAATGTACACCACTGAATAACACATGGTAAAAACCACTGAGCAAAACACCTACAACAGTGTTTGCTTGTTACTGCAACAAGGTTTCCCGCACTGCCACGGAAATTTCAAACTTCAACCTTAGTCTGACACAGTAAACACATCCTCAGAAGGATAGAACAAGTAAAGTCAGCCCTGCCCTTCAAGGGCACACAGTGATGGAGCTGCATCTCACAGTACTTAAATCCTCTGAAGTCCATATTGTTGAATATCTAGGGAACTCTATTATAGGGTCCATCCTTTCAAGAGGGATTTATCCTCCATCTTCAAAGGAAGCAGTATCTGGTAAAAAAATCAGTCTGTGTCAAATTCAATCTAAAAGGAGAGTCTGGCTCCAGATATCAAATTCTACTGCCTCTGCAACAGCGCCTGGCACAACAGTACTGCCTTCCAGGACGTCACACAGATTAAAACCAGCACTACCCAGTGTTGCACACACTAAGTGGTTTACAGTACAACTGAGCACAAGCACCTACCCAAAAGCTCAACTCCAGCACCCACCCAGTCAGGAGAGCACTGTTTGAGGTCAGCATCCTTCATTCCAATAATGATGTTATCTTCAGAACCACAACAAACAGTATTGCAGAAACTACCTTTTGCAAAAGATCCTCCCTGCTACAAAAAACAAACCAACAAAACAAAACAAAACAAAAAAAAAAAAAAAAAAAAAAAAAAAAANAAAAAAAAAAAAAAAAAAAAAAAAAAAAAAAAAAAAAAAAAAAAAAAAAAAAAAAAAAAAAAAAAAACACCTGGCCCCACAAGTTGCTGCATGGTCACTTGGGGCCAGTCAGGATCTCCAAAGAATGATGGGGAAATTCTGCTTCCTCACAGAACTGCAGCCTGAGCAGCCCTCAAAGCTGAAGTAAACCCCAACAGGAAAGAGGTCAGCAGCCACCTCAAAGACTTTTCATGGAAGTGAGCAGGGAGGGATGTGGAAAACCATGCATCAGGTGTTAATATAGTACGACTTAGGTCCTTGAAAAAAAAAAAAAAAGCAACAAAATTTGAGGTAAGAGCAGTGAGACTGTACTTCAAAGCTATACTCCCCAGAGTTCAGATGTCTCCTTCCCACGTGACTGCCCTGGTTAAAGACAGACCTAACAATACTCTAATTTTTCAGCTTTTCACAACTTACAATGACTGAGAAAGCAACTACAGCTACTGCACACTGCATATCCCCAGACCATTATCCAGAAGCAGAAATCCACTTCCCACACTATTTTGAATTAGCACATTCAAGATTTTAAAGCACTGCAAGAAACATTACCACTCCTCCCCACTACCTGCAACCCAATCCATCACACACTGCATTGGGTTTGCCTTACTGAGCATTTGTCTAGCTCCAAATGGAAAGTATTCACAGGGCACATTCACTATCCCATGACTGTACTGCTTCAAGACCTCAAAAGACAGATCAGGATGAGGACTCCTCTATTCCTAGGAGCATAACAAGGAACCAGAATGATGAAGGTTAGAGCATTTCCTCTTCCACATGTCAGAAGATGGTCAGCAGCTCAATCACCCAGCAATATTCCCCCCATTTTTGCTCAGCTACCACCTGTAGCTGCCCTTTCAGGGCAATTAGCATGTCTCCTTTCATATCTTTTTGTTGTTGTTGATGTTTTTAAAGCTCCCTATCTTTAAAATTGGATTTTTTTTATTTCAATATTTTTGTCAAGGTACAGCTTCTATTGAAATGTTTGGGGTAGAGCCCTAAGAAGGACAGGGTTATGATGCTGGTCTTCATAGAAACCAGGCAACTATAGTTCCACAGTACAATTCATAGACAACTTCATCCTCAGTTGTGCCAAAATGGCTAAAAACCAGAGCCCAAAGCAGTTCTTGCCAATGCCAGACAGCCCATTGCAGCAACTGGCATAAGCTCTCATGGGACAGGACTCACACTTGAGCTGTCACAATCCAGACGTTGCTAGTGCCTTTCCAAAGACATGCCCCTCACTGCCTTGATTTCTGAGAATAGCAACAACATCAAAAACAGACAAGTAACAAACTATGTGCAGTACCACCATGAAACCCATCTTCCACTGGGAAATATCCTCCATGAAGAGAAAGGACTGCAAAACACAGAGTCAACTAAACAGAACTATCTGTCAGTCTGAAATGCTGTGCTTTCCATCCATAGTGTGGCCAGGACACTGCAGAAGAACAAAAGTATCCGTTCTCTCTGTCTATTTATTACTAGAAACATTAGCTGGAATATCAGAGGTTACATACCAGTTTCCAGAGTCTGAAGTATGCCTCTAGGCTGTTCACAGAATTAGGAACGGGCCTCTGATATCTCCAGAACAGTGAGTTCCTCAAGCAATGAAGTTCAGAGGTAAATAACATTTTGGAAACATGAGGCAGATTTAAAATAGATTTAAAATATACAAAAGCCTTAGCACACTTTGAACACACTTCATTGGCAATTAACTTTTTATCAAGTTTTTCACATTCCTTGCTAGCAGAGATTTACAGCTAGTACTACTGTGTGCAGAACAGAAGATCAACTTGAAGGCTTTCAAAACATACATTTTAAGATTATAAAATTTTTCAGCTTAATCACTTCCCTTAAGGGATAAGTATAGAAACACCCACTGCTGAACTCACTGATCAATTACATTTTGCCTTGGTTATATAGAACAGCTTAAATAGGACAAGCAGCCTTTCACAGGTTCAGCACAGAATATGGCTGTCCTACAAGCATCACATCAGTATACCTGACACCACTGAAAAACTTAAGGACGGCAAAACTGTTTCAAATGCCACTTCTCTACCAATCCATAACAGAGCCCATGAGAGAGGTTGATCCTGGGTCTCCATGCTTACCGCACAATCCACAAGGTCCCAGTAGTGGCCACTGCCTCTACCATGAACAGTACAAGGTTTGGGAGTCCTTCCACCTTTAGCTCCTGATCTACAGCTAAAGACAAACATTTTTATTTTGTGGAAGTTTGTCCTACCCAGGACAAACCTTGTATTTGGCAAGTTGAAAAATTCTGGATAGCATACAAAGCCGATATCTCAAAAAGACATGATGATGTTCACTGCAACTTCTTCCCCACAAAGAGAAGACATTTTTGTAAAGTTCTAATCCAAAAGAACTATCAGGCAGAGCTACCTGGCATCTCAGAGGAGCTACCTGGTCTTCTGAGTTACTTTGTAACACAGAGAATATTACCAATCCCTTCACTGGCAGATGCATTTCCACATCCAAATTTGTTTGAGATACATAGATAAACTCTACAACTTGCATTTTAATAGAAGATGGCCTTTTCGGTCAATAACAGAGAAAATTAGTAAAAAGAGCATCTAGCTCTCAGTCTCTTGCAGCAACTTCACTGAAAACCGACCCACCTCAGTGGCAGTACACTGATCTTGCATATGCAATATTAAGTAGAAAAGCACTTTTCTAACAGGAAGACCATGCACATGCCTCACAGGCAGTCATACTGCTCTCAACTTGAACTTTGAATAAGTTAAGGGTTTCAGTATTTCAAAAAACTGAGCCTGTGAAACTCAAAACAGTTACTTCAACATAGTTAAAGACTATGCATACATTTGGAAATACAAAAGAATGTGACTGCGTCCAAACACACTCCTCATACTTAGCTGAAGTTAATCAATCACCCTCCATAGTGAGGATGAGAAAAATGAGTGAGAAAAATGAGCCTCAGAAAATGTTAACTTAGTCACGGACTATTCTAGCAACACAAAACACTCCCTTCCCTAAAAACAAAGATGCAGCAGGAAGTGAGAGCACAATTGGAAGAGCAGGTGTTCCTAATGCCTGCTCTCCACTGGTCTGCAGTTATTCGCACTGCTTCTCTCACTCACAGAATCCATCCACAAAGAAAACGCAGATTCTGCACAGCAGTCAAGTAGCAAGAACTGACCATAAACAGGTGAACTGACTAGCACTACCAGGTGACATGGAAGGCAACAGCAGAGAATCAGACTGACTCTCACTTTTCCATGAGTATTGGTCAGTCTCCAAGAGGCTGTAAGAACAAACATTAGGGCATGCATGCCATAAAGGTTAGTTCAGAAGGGAACTCATGCTACCCCACTCCATCATGCCCAAAGAACAACTTGATCCATTCTCACACTTACCGTTGGTACGTATTCCGACGGGAATTTATTTGTTGTATAAGAAATTAAGAGACAGGTTTTACCAACAGCACCATCACCCACTACTACACACTTGATCGTCTGCATTGCTGTAATCTATTAGAATATCAACTCCAAAGAGAACCTAGAAGAAAAAAAAAAGATACATATATTTAGATATTTCCCACATGCACTAGGTAGCAATTCGCATCACCTTTGACAGTAGCCCAAACTACTAACAGCACATTTGAGATATGAAACATGACATTCCTAAATGAGCTGGTAGATCCTTTGCCTCCACCACATACACAAAGCTACTCACATTCATAAGCGGAAAAAATTTTGCCTAGTTACCTAAAGGTGGGCAAAAACACCCATTGGTTTTTCCAGACTCAATTTTTTATGCATGGAAGCATCTAGCCTCAGATGCACTGGAAGCTGAAGTGTAAGCTCTGGTCTTGAGAGCTGCTCAGGAACACACCTGCCTTCTATAGAGTTCTCTCTGGAGAGCAGCTCAGCGTGAGACACACCAGAAGTGCTTATGGAATAAAAATCAACATTTACAGACAGAAATAAACATGACTATTTTTTTCTTTCCCTGCCTTTTTTAAGACCTAAGCACTGTTTTACATTTTTCCGGTTAAGAGTTGCTAGTTAACACACACCTTTATGCGCACTGTGAAGTGTTAAAAGCACTGAGGGCTCAGCAGGGCATTCAGATCCCAAGGGGATGGGATTACTCTTCAGACATCACAAAATCCAAACACACCCAGCTACTCCAACACTGTTTCAGCAAAAACTAATGTGAACTAAACCAGTTTGCATCACCAATATCGCCTCCAAACAGCTAGCTATCTCCAGTGTTGCTCAGCTGTCTTTCATTAGAGGTGTACCAGGCATCTGGTCATGCTTTCACATAAACGTGTGAAATCCTGACCCCAGGAAATCAGTAGCAAAGCTCTCACTGACTGACAGCATAATATCATCCAAAACACTTATTTACAGCAAAAAAGACTTGCTGCAAAGTATTTGTAAAGTCCTGATGGGGGGCAGGAGGTATTGCAAGCAGCAAATTTGCCATCACAGGAACAGCAAAGCTTTAGCAAGCAAGGATGCTGCCGTGGCTCTCAGGTCTGGGTAACTGCAAGTCAGAGTAACTGTATTCAAAAATCCAATCAATTCCTCCTTAACTATGCATTTGGTCACTTCCTGGGGATTTCACTTCTTACAGTAATGTAAATAAAGTACAGTGCAAATCCAGATTTTTGAGGCTTTAGTCACAGCCAGCAATATGATCTGATACTGTATCACACCATCATGCCTGCAAGGAAAGGAAATTGCTAGGAACTCATGAGAAACATACAATCCCCCACTCTTCAGATGTCACAAGGTTGTTCTAGGATTTCAAGAAAGACAGCTACCTTCATAATAATCCTCAAAAGTTCCTAAGAACAGTACCTGTAGGGGAATACTAGCCTACTAGCCACAGACATTCCCACAAGACCTGGACAAAACCACAAGCAGTTTTAGGAAATGGCAGCAAAGATTCTCAGGGCAGGCCATCAGCCGAACCTGATACACCAGGCACTCACATTGCCATCCTCATCTATAATTCTTCTTTCAGCAAGCACAGAGATAATAAATTATGTGCGTAAGCATCAGGTGTTGCCACCAGTCCTCTATTTGGTGATCCATTTCAATATCAACAGAATCTATTCATTTATGCAGATCTCAGTTTCCCAGCTGACATCCAGAAGGATGCACTGTGCAGATGTATCAACAAGGCCCTTCATTAATAAAACAAAAACCTCTGCAATTTGGCCCTGAAGCAAACACATATTTACTCAGAAGGAAAAAGTAACTATTTACATTTCAAAAGACATCTTCTGTGTTCAGGCCAGTTCAACTGTTTACATCCAAGTACTATTATTCAATATTGCCTCAGTTGTGAAGGGCTCCCACAGCTCTGCCTTGCCATGCCGTCGGCACTGACTGATCTCAGAGAAAGCCCCACTTCACAACAAAAAAATAAAAAAGGCAACCAGGCAGAAAGCAGGCAGTGGAACAGCACAGCTCAGGCCCATATTAAGAAAGTGTTCATGCTCAGAACAAAGGTGAAAAGGGGTGAGCCACTCATTAAGGTGATTTCAAAAGGAAAACATGCTAAAAGTCAGAATGAATCCAAGTTCATTCCAGCTAATCCCAGCCACAGCCACTAGTATGCCCCACTCACATAGGCAACACAATTCTACCATCTTTCTTTTTACCATCCACCTTTCAGTTTAGGCAAAGCCCAAAGCATTCAGCTCTAGCACTGCTCAGTGTAGGTAAGATGCTGCCTCCAAGAATTCGTCTCAGAGTTACTAAATGAAGTACAAAGCAAATCTCCAAACTGGGTTTCCCAGCCACTTCTCATGTTTTTCCAATTTCCACTCAAGTTTGTTACACAGCCCAGTCAGTCCCTGGAACCTGTGCTCCAGCTGTCCTTGCTCACCTCGGGGCTGGCACAAGTGGAGGAACATCCCTCCCATGTAACAGCACTTACAGTCAAACCTTTAGAGAAGCACTCTTTCCACACAGCTCTTCCCTTGGCAGACCAGAACACCTCCATGCTGTAATCCTCCCTTCCTGTTCTACCTGTAATTAGCAGGTTACACATCTGCTTCAGATCACCTTCTTTCCACAGCCCAGAAAGCACACCAGAGATAAAATCCTGGCTCTGAAGCATTCCCTGTGCTCACTACAACAGACCAATCCATTATTCTCCATAAACCCAGATTTTGTATATTACCAAAAAAACTCACACCTTTGTAAAAAGAAAAAACATAGGTCTAGTATTACTCTTTAAAGCTTATTACTCCAGAGAGCACCAAGGAGGCCACAGTACTAGAAAGCATCTAAGGTCACAGAGTGTGCCGCAAGCCTTCACTTCTTCCCTGTCCTTGGACACAGCCAAGTCCCCATGCTGACACTGGGCAAGAAGCTGTTGTTCTCTGGCAAGGGCTCAGGTCAGAGACTGGGGCTTACACAGCACCAGCTGCACACATCTCATTATGCCTGCCACAGCTCCGACTCCAGCAGTGAGCTATCAGCCCTATGCACACAGTTTTCTCTTGCAGAGAACACCAAATCAAGAGCATCTACAGGAGTACTGCTCATTCATTCTCTCTGCACCTCCAATTCCATCCTGAAGTGAAGCATTGGTGTGGTGCAGATCAACGACTCAAACAGCACACCACTGCACTCTGGGTGAGACAGCACACACTATCTTTTTCTACCAGTGACCTCATCCTTTCAGTTTTCCGGCAGTGGGAACAAAACAAAGAGCAAATAACCCAAGGCCTTGCACTGGAGCCTAAATCAGAATTTGAATGGCACAACAGGGTTCTGGAAAAGCCCAGGCAGGGTTGTTTTCTTTCTTTTTTTTTTTTTTTTACTCTTTTCTAAAACATAAAACTACCATGAAAACAATTGAACTGGATCACTGGAAATTCTCTATGAAACAAGCAAGTACCACTGCTCTCACACAAGTTGTTCAATTCTGGTTGCCCCCCACCACAATTAGACACTTCAAAATTACACATTAAAAGAAACAAAAATTGGAGCACATATCTTAGGTAAAGAGATCCCCCCATTTTTTTTTTAAATGGATGCATAACTTTACGTTTAAATACTGAAGATGGTGTAAGTTTTAAATAGAGTGTTCAGCACAGGCCTCCAAAGTCTTAGCAGCAGCAAAGTGGAGTTGTTGAATAAATTATTTTCCTTGGATTAGTAGACCTTCTAGATTAGCCGGATGAGCTAATTTTTGCACTTGTAAGAAGTCTACAGATCACAGCTGAAAACAAGCTAATTTCTAAGGAGCTTAGATTCACTATTCTGCGACCTCCTCTTCCATAGGAATAGCTTTAAGGATACCTACATCCTTGACTTGTGGTTTAAAAGTAATTTAATCCAATTTGAGATTAACCACAGAATAACTCATCCTCAGAGTGCAACGACAAGGGAAATAGAAACAAAGAAGTTACAGAGGCTTTGGTCTTGCTTCCCCTCAGAAGTCACCACCTAATAAAAGGGAGTCTGTGTGTACAACACCCAGCAGAGAGACCACTCCAAGCAGTTTTAAATATCTGTAGGAATTGAAAGAGACTGGAAACCACTGAAGTCATCCCAGCCTGAGGGCAATGAGTAGATTTTGAGCCATGTAACTGTGCCATCTGGCCAAGCCCAGACAGGAGAGCTGGGACTGGGACTGCAATGCAGGTCAATATGACTTAGTTCTGTTCAAGGAGTTCTGAAGACTTCTTAAAAACATAAATAAAAATCACAAAAACAAAAAAAAAAAAAAACAGAGCATTGCACTGATTTGATCCCTCAAGCCTCTCTGCAGTGTAACCAAAACCTAGAGCAATTCAATAAAGTACATGTTAACTAATGATATTTGCAGTATTCACTGGATTTTAACCTGCTCAGCATGTGATCACAACAGCAGGATTTCAGAGAACTCAATGCTCTCCTAGAGAACTGGGATCTCGCATCTGGAAACTGTGGATTACACAGCCATGCAAACTGTCAAATTCAGAGGCCCATTTTAGGAAAATTTTGCTTAAAAGCTCAATTTCACTTTTGTGGAAGACAGCTGATCTGCATTTAGGATTAATTCCATAAGTGTTAACAGAGATGCGAGTAATACGACAAACAAGGAACTGAAGTCTCCAGCAGGACATTCCAGAGCTTTGTAAACCTTCCTGGTGCAAAGGAAATTCAAGAGTGATGCAATTTGGTCACACAGGCCTGTTCAAGCACCAAGACACTGACCAATCACAAGAGGCTGAAGAAATCCACAGTACCTCTGGCAGGTTCCCACTGACTAAGCACAAGCCATACCATCCCAAACACACTTGCACTTCCTGTGCAACGTCTGACTTTCCCATCCTAAAGGCAAGGCAAGCATATGAAATATGGTGGTACTACAGGAGCAATTGGCTTTCACAAACTTTCTGTAACTTAAGAGTAGCTCCAATCTGTTCCAGTACCCATGTGCACTATTAACTGGAGAATTAAAGTGAAATTTTGCGGGGTTTTCTACACAATCAGTGTTCCCTACCACACCCAGAGTTAAGAATCTGCACAATCTCACCTCCA